GAAGAAGAGGGGACACATGTTGATGTAGAAGAGACATGGAGAAGAGGGGACACATGTTGATGTAGAAGAGACATGAAGAAGAGGGGACACATGTTGATGTAGAAGAGACATGGAGAAGAGGGGACACATGTTGATGTAGAAGAGACATGAAGAAGAGGGGACACATGTTGATGTAGAAGAGACATGAAGGTGACCTTTAACTGACACACAGATGTTGAGACGTTGTGTGTGAAGCTGAAAAGTTGCAGTGGTACATATTTCAGTTTCTCTCTCAGAGTTAGAGTGTGTCATCTTTCAGCCTCAGCTGGATGGGAGGTCCTGCTCACCAGGAGAGCTCCGATGGGGATTGAATCAGAAAGAATATCTTAAAAAACTAAAATAAGGGTATGGGCGAGGCTCAAAGAGAAAGTTTGAGTTTGTGGGGTTGGGGGAAAAGTTGCACGGCAGATATTGTTGACATCATTAGAAATCTGCAAGGTGTGTTCATGGTGTGTCTGTCATGTTGAAAGAGAACCAGCAAAGGATCAACGTCTCGTCTTCCTTGTTGGGCAATAGAAAGCCACCGGAGGCGTATGAGGAACGCTGGAGAAATCTAGGCGTAAAGATGATGTTAGTGCATCTGTTTTGGGAACGTAGTGATGATGGCACCCTGCTGCAACGTAAGCCACTAAACGTGAATCTGTTGGGTACCTGGAGGCAGGAAGGGAGCTCTGCAAACATTTCAGGATGCCTCGAGTCAGCTTGGATCCAGATAGAATATGATTGAATTCCAAAGTGACAAAGAGTCGTTGTTGGGAACGCGTCAAACTGTAGGAAAACATCTTCAGAAATAACTCCTATAACCCAATCCACCTTGTAAGGGAATATTTCTGTCTTACTCCTAAGTGTCAAAGAATAATTCTTCCTTACTCCTAAGATATTTAACCTCATTCTGTGTGTTGACATTTACGACCATCCCTGCTTCTAATCTCCCGTAAGGAATGTGTTAATGCAGTCGTATGTTGATACTAGGTTTTATGGCCTGACCTGGTGGGCACAGGGGTTTTTTTACGACCGTGAGAACGCTGGCTTTCTAAGCTCCACAGATGTGAGAGACATCTCCTGTGTCTGCAGATGTTTACGCCCATCCCCAATATGTGGATTTGACTCTCTGTAAACTAGTTAAAAGGTCTACCAAGATGCGAGGCGGATCAGAATTGACATGACAACCCACCCGTGCAGTCAGAACCTTTTGCTGCTGTGACTTGTGATATGAATTCTCCGGCCGTTGACTTGTAATAAACATCATTGTTTAACATCAAAGCTCCAACTCTCCTCGTGTCTCTCTGAGTCCTGACTCTCCCTTGCTGCAGAAGTTTCCCTTACAAGACTGATATTTATTTCAAAGTTATTTGCATTATTAACCTTAAAACGTGTTCAGAATTGTAAAGGTTTTGAGTCTTTTGCTTTGTCTCTCGTGAGTTGGTTGATTTTTTTTAATATTGTAGTTCCAAATAAAATAGGAAAACAATCCAAAGACAGGTTGTTTTAATCCACTTCTTATTGAATTTACAGAACAATACTATACCCTGATTTATATCGCTACCATGATATAACACTGCATATATTGTGAAAGAAGATCCTATCCTACACTAAAATAATCAAAGGTGCTTAAGGCAGTTATAAATGAAACACAAGACAAAAAAAGATTCACATGTACAAGGTTACTCAGAGAAGCAACACACACATTCAGCAGGTCAGTCCAAGATGTTTCCAAGAAACTGACCCTTTTTGTGCATAAAGGCACCGCTTCCTTATTTTATAATAACATGTGACTGTGTGTTCAACTGTGGGAAGACAGCTGTGACTACATCTACCAGTAATACATTTAGAGGAAGTAGACTTTGACTAATTTGGGATGGTAGGATTACAAACATGCAAATAGACTGCTACTCATCGTGACCTTCCCTTTTATCACTGGTCACAATGATGCTATCTCTGTCTGAAGGCATTGTTGTGGACTTGCGTGAACAAGATGATAAGTATCAGTGTACATGGCCATAGACTTTAAATACTCTTTCCCCCGAATAAGGGCGTGTCCACATAACGCTCCAAGGGTTGTTTTGTTGTTTCTATGACAGCAATGTCTTGACACTGTATCACTATTGTTGTATGACAGACTAGCCTCACCCCTTGGATTTTATTATCAATTTGTGCTATGTATTTGTTTGACATTGCGTCCATGAGAACAAACAGGAGGATGCTTGTTCTCACATTTTGTGTGATTGAGCGTCACAGCTTTAGTCTGACAGCTTTAGAGTGAGGAGGATGATATGTGTACGGTACGATAAAAGCCACTCACACACCGGCAGATCTGCTCCAACCAACAAGCTCTTTGGTCGTTGCTATGATGGTTACCGTCTGACAGTGAGACAGTCATTTCCTACAGTGACGTCAACAGCGTTTTTCTGGAAAGTTTAAATATTTTCAACTTGACCAAAACGGTGGAACGGTCAGAAGAAAGACGAGGGGTGCAACTCTTTCTCTGAAGACCACGGTGTAAAATACTATAAGCTATCGCCTTATTGGAATACATTTGAAAAAAGATGCTGATGTGCAGAAAAGGCGATATGCAGACATCCGCCCAAAGCAGTTTAAGTTTAATAAATCAGGTCTGCAGTAAGCCAATGAAACATGCCAACACAATGATAATAAAAGGGCTACAAATACATCTAATAGATTATGTATTCCCCATAAAAAGGCAAAGGGGTATGAACCTCCCTCTCACTATCCTGCTCAGTGGACCAGGACCTGGGGGACGGTCTTCTGCAGGTTCAGCCCCCTGAGAGCGGAGAAGGGAGGGAGGCCTTCGAAGCCCAGCAGCTGGCGGGTGGAGGACTCCCAGCTGAATCCAAACTCCAGCCGGCTGTAGACACACGGGTACTGCCGGTCCGCCCAGCAGACCCAGTCCACCGCCCTCTTCACCTCCTCCCAACGCTCAGGCCTGGAGGAAGAAGAAGAAAGTCGATATGAAAACAGGTTGCCACTCTGGATAGAGTGACAGCTAGTCTCAACAAATCACCCAGACCCTACCAAACAGTGCCCATGTAGTTATAGCCTTTTCTACACTTCTTGCGAGACACTTGATTCTTCTAAAATGGAAGCAACATTCCTTTTCTCAGTGGGGCAAAGATGTTATGTACTTCTTACAGTTAGAGAAAATTAAGTTCTTACTCAGGGGCTCCTCTAACACCTTTATTAGAACATGGTAACCCTTTCTGGACTTGTATGACTCCTTACAAGGTCCACTTGATAAAGAATAAGGTTGGATTGAGTGGTGAGCAGTGAGCATTTCATATATATTTATAAATTATTGATTCATCATTTTTCTCTTTCTATTCCATTATCATTATTATTATTATTTTCTTTCTTTGTGTTTATCTCTGTGCATTTTTTTTTTCTTCCTTCTCTGCCCCCCTTGAACTAATGTAATTATGAAAACACTGTATTTACTGTTAAAGGGCTCTGCATCCTGTAACTCAATGGGTTAATGGGTGGTGGGTGGGAGAGTGGTGGGATTGAAATTAAGATTTTGATTTGTCAGCATGTGTATGTGTATGTATCCTTACTGAATCTGTATCACTTGCTTTTTGTCAAAAAACTGAGAAAATCAATAAAAACATTTACCAAAAAAAAATCACCCAGAGAAGAACTTTGCTATAAATATTGGATATTTTTGCATTTGCATTTATGTTTTAAAAGTCAATGGACATCTCAAGGTTATGAATTGAGGGATAAATGCTTTGTTGTGTTGTGATTTGTTTCTCTTCCTGTTACATTTCCTCTTTTCACACTTTGGTTGCAGTGTAAGCCTTTAAGCTTGGAATCAGTTTAGGTGTTTTTATTTAGGGTCTTCATGTTGTTCGATTAAGTTTAGGACAGACCTGGGCAGAGGGGAGTCGTCCAGGCAGAAGAGGGTGCGGAGCAGTTTGCCCTCCTCTATCTTCTCCTCTCTCATCAGCTGCAGGACCAGCAGAGTCGCCACCAGCTTCAGGATGTCTGCATGGGCCTTCACACCTACACACACACCCACCCACCCACACACACACACACACACACACACACACACACACACACACACACACACACACACACACACACACACACACACACAGTACAGTACATGCTTTTAACATCCGCGGGAAACAAACTCATCATCATGGCTGAAATATCTGTAAGACTTAAAAAATAAAAAGCAGTGCAACTATGTGAGAGTCCTCAATTAAAACTGAAAGACAGGCAATCTTTTGTGGACAGAGATGTCACCGATGCATTTTTGTAAGTGTCTTTTTCCACTTGGAGCCCCACAAACACATCTCTTACATCTCCATTGTGAAGCAGATGTTAATCTCAAACCCTGGAAAAATAAAATCCAAACTATCAAGAAATATACTTGTGCTGAAAAGTGGAAAATGTGGCTTTTGATTGAAGTCTCTACAAAGCAGAGGCATGGCATGATAATTGTTTGCAATTGTCTCCCTTTTCACACACTAACATGTATAAAATGTGTCAGTTTTGAGGTTATTCTTCTCTTCTTCTCTTGAGTATTAACACTGCCCTCAAAAATTACTTACTTTGAATACTGATTTTACATTCAATATTAAACTTTTCACAAATAAATACCTTTTAATATAACCCCCAAAGAGATCACTTTGATTTGAATCAAAGTGTTTTTTTCTTATATTTTGACAAGGAAAGAGACATAGTTTTTAACAGGTCATTTTGAAAGTCATCTTAATGATTTAAAAATTAAAAACTAATAAATACAAATAGGACATTCTCGTCTGATTGGTTAATATTATAGTGCTTGGAAGGTTATATTAAACTTTAAAGAACATCTTGGCACTCTTCGGCGAATGATACTTCTATCTCCACGTGTAAACCCAATCTTTTGGCCACAGAAAGATGTGGAAATGATCTGAAATGACAAATCTATTCCCACTTTAAAGGCTGCATCAGTTTCTGAGAGTCCTCACCCAGAGACTGGATGCCTTTGTTTTTCAGGAACACGTTGGCGAAGAGGTCCACATCCAAATTAATCAGCTCACCCAGCTCTGTGGTGAACTGCCAGTAACCCTCCTGCAACACAAAGACACAAATAACATGTTCATTTCCTTCATAAAGTGGTAATTAATTACGCCCCCATGGTTAAAAGTGCCAGCTAAAAAATATATATAAATAAAAAAAGTGCAAAAAGGTTAGATGTGTAATGTATAGAGTTGTGGAACTCAACCAAGTACATTATGTTTAATAAAAGTACCTTCAATTTGAACTTGAGTATTTCCCTTTTATGCAGCAAATAGATTTCAGATCACCAATTTTCATTCCCTTCCTGTCCAGTTTAAAACCATCCATCTTAATATGTGTTTGTGATCTGATGAAGGATAGGAGTTCCCTTTGTGTGTTGAAAAAAATATGTGAATAATAAATACTGAAAAAAGCCTTTTGGATCAGCAGAAAAATGTATGATCACATCGTTTTTTGAAATGTTCAGAGATACATGGTTCTGCAGGACAGCGACAAAGCTACAAACATGATCTTATAGAATATAATTTATTGCTGTAGATTAAACTTGTATGTAAATGAGCTTTACATATAACCTTAACCATTCAGCAGTACATTAACATAAGCATTCCTGCAGCAATAAATACATCCAAAAAACACCATGTAATAGTAAAACACTCACTGATGATATATTTCATTGCAAACTTTTACTTACGATTAACTAATGCATTTTACTGATAATGTTTAAATACTTTTACTTAAAGGCGGGGTAAGTAATTCACTTCAGAAACACCTTTTGTTATATTCCATGGAATGCTCTTAACATCCCGACAGCAATGAATATATGAAATGCTTTGACAATAAATACATACAAATATTTCATCTTGGAAGCCGTGGCGCTGTAAAAAGCAAATCCAATTATCTGCCTCGGCCCGGGTCAGATGATTGGATGGCCTACCTGCCTGTCAGCCTTCCACCTCGTGCGCAAACTTATCTCGTGCCCTCATTGGTCATGTGGGCGTTCGTGTGTGTTGGAGGAGGGGCTCTGTAAGGAAGTCTGAAGGAAAGGGCCGATTTTTTTCGGTTGTGTATTTTCAAATTCTAGCGAGCTCGAGCCGGTTTCTCCATTCTTACCTACCCTACCTTTAAGTAAGGGTTTGAATGCATGATAAGGAGTGGAGTATTTCCACAGTTAGGTATTAGTACTTTTAAAAGCATCTAAAGTATTTCTCCAAAATACTGAACATCGCCAAGTTGCATAAGACTGCTTTTGAAACCCAAATTTGCCCCGCTGTCAGTAAACATATCTCTAACCGCTGTATCGCTATAGTTACAGTGTTTTAACAAGAAGTGCAAAGCAGCCTTCTGACAGCTAATCATCCCAAATGCGTTTCACAAAGAAATGATCAAAGGATCAGAATTGATAAACCATAAAAAAGGGCTGTCATTGTATCCTGTCAGCAGGAAAAGAAAAGGTCAATGTATGCACTCGAGAACAGCCGCATACGTTCATTTTGATATTTTCTTACCGAATGCTGCATTTGGAAGATCTCTGTCCATCTGAGCTTCAGCGCTTCAGGGTCTGCTGACTTCCTCCTGAAACGACATGATCACAACAGGACACTCTTAGAGAACACTGAATGTTGCGTATTAAAAAACACACACATAAATCAAAGAATGTAAACATAAATACACACACATATACTGACTTTCTTTTTTTATAAAACATAATAACATAATCAGAGGATTTACAACAATACTTTTCAGTTAACATGCAGATTAATTCATCTATGTTAACTTTGTCAACCAAAGCCTGATACCACTTTCTTTTAAATAAGTAGAGCATTTTTTGTCAACAACTGTTATTCAATAGTTATCACAGTTTTCTTAGTAGGAGCTTATCTATTAAAACAAAAAAACGTTTAGGGACTCACTGGAATCGTTGAACAGCTGATTGATGCATCCTTGAAGACTTTAAAAAACCCATCCTACGTTTACCCCGGAGCAGTCCTCCCCAAGAACTTCCACATGAGGGATCATCTTCTTCAGGCTTTGCTAATACTCTACTTCTGGATGTTTGCCAACGTCGCTTTACATCGACATCTGATGCTTCATCAAGTGGAACAGGAGGGGCATCTTTCATTGGCTGATCTTGTCTAACGGGTTCTTCTTCAAGCGCACAACTCCTGGGACTAAAGCCTGACATTTCTTGTTCAACAGCTAATAAGAGGTGAGCTGAGGAGAATAAAGATGCTTCACTTCTGGAAAACCCTCCTGACTGACCTATCACAGGAGATCCAGTCGCACATTCAGTTGTTATATCCAAATCAGAGGCACCGACATGGATATCCCTATCACCTAGAGAGGTGGGACGACTCAAGCTGCTTAAGAGTCCAGACCAGACACCAGAGGAGATTCCTGTTTGAAAGGGAGGTGATAGCGCTTTGATCCTGAGAGCTTGTGATTTCATTTGCGCACTGAGCTGATCCGGCAGGGCATTAGTGCCAAGTAAACTTTGAGCTAGCTTAGGAGCTGAACCAAAGAGAGCTGGAGGGCCTTGAAAGGCGGACTGGCGTTGAAGTGAACGATTAGAATAGGACGGTGCATTTCCGAATGACAATACATTCCCTGCGAGTGAAAGTTCAGACGCACGGTCGCTCCTCATCATCATCAAATCTGAATCAGTTGCAGCTCGCGTTGCACCGTTCGTGACGCTGAGAGGTCGGGGAACTTCTGCTGCCTTTTGTTCTCGAGGATGAGATGAGGGAATTTGACGACCACCAGGAGGGAGAGGCGCACGGAGAAGAGATTCTTGGGCGAGTTCCTTCATGTAGACCTGTCCTTCCCAAGAACTTCCACATGAGGGATCATCTTCTTCAGGCTTTGCTAATGCTCTACGTCTGGACGTTTGCCTACGTCGCACTGCGTGGACATGTGATGCTTCATCAAGTGGAACAGGAGGGGCATCTTTCATTGGCTGATCTTGTTTAACGGGTTCTTCTTCAAGCGCACAATCCATGAGACCAAAGTCTGACATTTCTTGTTCATCATACAATAAGCTTGCTCTTTGTATTGGAGCTGTGGAGAATAAAGATGCTGCACTACGGGAAAACCCTCCTGACTGACGTTTCACAGGAGATACAGTCGCTCTTTCAGTTGTTATACCCAAATCAGAGGCACCGACATGGAAATGTATAGCTTCTGAAGAGGTGGAAAAACTTGAGCTGCAATCCCGGGTTGCAAACCGTCCTGCACCCCAGAGACCAGAGGAGGAAAGGTTTTGATTGGAAGGCGATAGCGCTTCGTTCCCGAAAGCGTGTCCTACGACCTGATCCAACATGGCATTAGAGCCAAGTAAAATGTCATCAATGTCATCATAATCATCATCATCATCATCATCATCATCATCATCATCATCATCGCTCATCTTCATCAACACATCTGAGTCACTTGCAGCTCGCGGTGCACCGTTCAGGATGCCGTGGCGTCGGGGAACAGGAAAGGAGGAAGGAGAACGAGAAAGAGGGAGGGAACGGAAAATATATTTTTGGGCGAGTTCCTTCACGTGGAAAGGAGGATGTGGTGGAGGTGGAGGAGGAAATGAGCAATCTGAATACAAATGCAATTCTTGATTCACTGGAGGTGCTTCAAAATCACCCAGGGGGGGTTCACACGATGCTGAAGGGGCCGATCTGTCCACGTAGCAGCTTGTTTTTCTTGTCAGAGAGACCCCATGCTAAAAAACACAGAAACAAAAAAAAGTCAAAACCTTTTTCTTGCAAATGATAACTGGACACATTGAATTTTTTCCAAACAAAAAGAAATGTTGCAGTATTGCATTGTCCTGCCTCTCTAATAACATGTGAGTGACGCCACACATTAAGGATTTGTTAACCTGCCAATTGGTATGTTTTTGTTTAGTTTGAACAAAGTCAATGCATTACAAATAATAGCTCTATCTGAAAGCGATGCATTTATTGTCTTAAAATAGCAAATGTGAAACAGCAAACATTTTACGGGAATAAGTCCCCTATCATACAAAGCACAAAGGGAGACAAATGCAACTTGTTAAAGTGTTATTTATTAAAGAGGACATATTATCCTCATTTTCAGGTTCATATTTGTATTTTGTGGCTCTCCTGTCTCCGTGCTTAAATGTTCAAACAATGCTTTATTTTTCAGAGAAATTCCCTCAGGAGGGAAGTTTGGGATTTTAGGGCATCTTCAAATAACAACAAGCAAACTCTTTTGTTTCCTGATTATTATAGTAAATGCAATGTGACATTACCTTCATTCCGATTTTTTGAGATCTTTTTAATACATCCAGAGACTCATCCTCAGAATCATCCTCAGAATCATCCTCAGTCTCATCCTCAGACTCTTCCTCAGTCTCATCCTCAGACTCTTCCTCAGACTCATCCTCAGACTCATCCTTAGCATCCTTAGAGTCATCCTTAGCATCCTTAGCATCCTTAGACTGATCCTTAGCATCCTTAGAGTCATCCTTAGCATCCTTAGCATCCTTAGACTGATCCTTAGCATCCTCAGAATCATCCTCAGTCTCATCCTCAGACTCTTCCTCAGACTCATCCTCAGACTCATCCTTAGCATCCTTAGAGTCATCCTTAGCATCCTTAGACTGATCCTTAGCATCCTTAG